TCACCCTCAAGCGCTTTCTGCACATTTTTGTTGTGTTTCCTGGGCACAAACCCCTCAGAGCCATTAAAGAGGAGTTTCACAGGATTGCAGGTTAGTGGTATTGAATTCGTTTCAGTAAGGCTAATCTGACAAATGATGATCAGTTAATAACATCTTGCTGTGACCTCTGGAAATAAACTAATAATTAGAATCCCCTTCAGGATTTCCTAATGCGGTTGGATGCATTGATGGCACACATATTCCCATCAATGCACCTACATGAAAATTAAAATTCAATTCTTATATTATTACATGAGTGTTGGGTCAATTTTAAAAAAGTATTTTGATTAATGTAATAATTACTCTCCATAAAACGTACTGGATTATTTATTAATCATTACTTTACAAATCCCATATCAACCACAATAGGAATTTTAAGAAAGGGTAGACATAAAACTGCACTTTTAATTCGTACAACAATCGGCATTTTATGCAATTACTGATGTTACTCATTCAGTTATTGAAGAATTAAGAACCATTTCTTACTTTACAAGTGACAAATAATAACATTACTAACATTATTTAGTAATTACTTATACCGAACACTGTATGATTAAAATGTAAACTTACGCATTGACTCGGGCAGCTATTTTCCCCCAAGCTAACTCTTTCTCTTTCGCTGCTGCAGCCGTGTTGGTTTTTTTTTTTTTTTTTTTTTTTTACGAAATATGGGCTCGTAGTCACTATATGCTTGTAGTAGCACATCCATTTCTGTTGGGAAAAAACGCAGACCTATTTTGGCTTGGTCCTGTTGCCATGGTGACTTGTAATTTCTTCACTCCATTGTTCAGGGCTTTTTATAGTCGCGTGGCACGCGCCTAACTCTGAGTCTAACAACTCAGAGTTGATTAAACCAACTCTTTTCAGCTGTTCTGAAACCGAAAACTCCGAGTTTTCCAACTCTGGGTAAGTCAACTCAGAGTTCAGGTTTGAACTCTGAGTTTGTTAAACCGCCTTCTTGAAATAGGCCCCAGGAGGAGCTGAACAGGGTGACAGGGAGTCGTCAGGTGCAAGTCGTGTTCAGGAAGAACCTGCCCTTCACTGACGCTGTCATCCATGAGACACAGAGACTGGCCAACATTGTTCCCATGGCGCTTCCTCGCAAAATGAGCCAAGACATCACTTTCCAGGGTTGCTTCATTAAAAAGGTCAGACTGAAGCAAACTAATAATATGCATGATCCACCCTGACTGAAAACAACAAATTAAAGAGACGAGAATAGAAAAATCAGTCAATAGATTTACATATTAATAAACAGGTATTCATTAAGGAGTGAACAGGTGTTGGTTTGATGGTTATGATATTCACCTTGGGGTGTCATACACAGGATCAAATAACTTGTCTTTTCTTTACTCTAATTTCTTGTCACAGCAGCAGAGTATTGCAACAAAACAGGTGAAGAGTTCAAAAACTCCTGTTGCTTAGCATGTAAATGCTTTTCAATCTCTGTGTTGTCTGCAGGGGACCACAGTGTATCCTCTCCTAACATCTGTCCTGTATGATGAGACCGTGTGGGAGAGACCACACTCCTTCTATCCTGCCCACTTCCTGAACAAAGATGGGAAGTTTGTCAAGCGAGATGCCTTCATGCCTTTTTCTGCAGGTTTGTGAACTCAACCATCTTTTCTTACTCATGTTCACTTATTGGCAGATGATATGAACATTTTCCTTTGTCATCTCTCACAGGTCGCAGGATTTGTCCTGGAGTGGGTCTGGCCAGGATGGAGCTCTTCATCTTCTTTACCACCCTCCTGCAGCACTTCCGTTTCACTCCTCTACCGGAAGTTTCAGAGGATGAGCTTGACCTGACACTACGTGTTGGCTTTACCCTCAGCCCTTCACCCCACAAACTGTGTGCTGTCTCCTGTGTGTAGTAAATGTTTCTGCCTTCCATAGTGGTGGTAAGCTGTGATAGCTCACTGTTCATGCATGTACACAACAGCATTACCCTAATTTTCTTCCGGTCTGGCTGCGTCACACATCTGATATGTCCCATGGACGGCTCTCTGGTCCACTTGGGTAAAGATATACATCTAGTCTATTTTTCAGGAATACCTGATCTTCTGACAAAGTTCGATCCAGCAATCAGACAGTGCTTGCCCAGAAAGATACAGTATGTATGTGAAACAGACTGGGATATGTTCAGGCAGTCCTGCGGGGAAGATCTGGACTCATTGGTGGATGTGACATGTTCTTATAGACCTTTTGCAGGGATATGATTATCCCATATAAGCATGTCAAAATATATCCTAACAATAAACCAGGGGTTACCAAGTCAGTTAAATCCTGTTTATACAGGAAGGCACTGGCTTTTAAACAAGGGGGGGGGGGGGGGGGGGGGGGGGTGTGG